TAGATTGGTACCAGGCTGTTCTGAGACGATAGCAGCACTGTCTCGATACATCGGTAAGCCATCGCTAGTCATTGTGAAGCCTAGATATGCATCTAATCACCTCTACTAGCACTTAATGAGGTCGAATACATGGTGCATCCCTCAGGGGTTGATCAACTCACAGAGCATCTTTTCATTTTTGTGGTTCGTCAATGATGGAATATGTTATTGCCGGTTGTGTCATAAGACGATGCTAAGAGAATAACAATGAAATTCCTACCGAGGCATCGATCTCTTCATGTAGGCTTAAAATGGAGGGTCCTTGTACGAAAATCGTTAAGAAAACTAGTATAGAGGTGTTTTTAATAAGCAGAACGGCTATTTGTATACACACCGTGCATTCTTCACCATGTAAGCAATGGGAAGACAGCGTTCACATGGTATTTCACCGATGTTCTAAACACTGCACGCAAAAACGTTTATTACGAAATCTAAAGCTTTCAGTCAGCATTTTCTCAACGTACACTTTCATAGCATTTGTACATATTCTCGAGAATTTCCTCTTTCCAGACAAATAACACTGCTTATGGCCAATATTGAGACAATCCAAGTAACGATACTTCTTACAACTTCTGTTTAACAAACACGAGCAGAAAGAACTATTCAATCAATCCCGAGGTTAGTAGAAAGTCGGACGTGGGAGATACATTTTTTACATCTGCTGCACCTAGTTGTTACTTGCCTAGCAAACCCCTTTCATGTCCTTGTAAAGTCAAACCCAACGTCTCCATCTTTTTGAGTCCAGTCTTTTCAAACGACGGACGATCGATAATGGCCGATCACAGTTAGCCTCAGCTATAGCTGCCAGTTGAAGTCATTCTTCAAGTGTTCACTAAACGCATCTGCGTGACCAACGGAAGAGGGACAGACCGTGTTAATCATGGGCAAAATTTGATATTATAAAGTTATAAAGAAGTGAAGTATAGAAAGATACTACTATATTTGACAACTAACTGCTCATCTCGTCACTATCGTCTAAGCGTTACCCTTTTTCCTAACCATTCGACAAAGCATTTTCAGAATCTTCACCATCGGATACTGGGTGCGCAAGATATTTTTTGCGTACTTCACAAGATGGTTATTTGGACCGCCTAGCTCACTTCTTTGTTTCTCTACTCTCAAAGAAAGCTCTAAGCATTGCATCTGTTGCTGTTCGAAAGCCACGTTTCGTGAGTAGTAGATGTTACGTATGCGAGAATGTGACACCTCAAGCGGAAAGAGGTATGATCCATCCCTAAATGCTTTGTTTTCGCTGTGGCGAGACAATTGCAAACTTCAGACCCCAGACTGGGACGATTTTTTTGTCGGACCCGGATCTTCCGGTTTTTTGACAATAAAAAAATTTTCAATAAGTGTCGTGTTCTAGGAGCTATGACAAAAACAGAATTATAAAAGAGACTTCGCTCCACCGTTCTACTGGTATGAATGACAATTGTACTACTATTTACTGTGTTTTGCCACTGTCCATTATAGAAATATTTTGCTGTCAACACTTGCATTTTGCACGCTGTATTGCGTCTAGTTCAGTGTTTTTTCTCATATCCGCACATTCTGTACGATGACAATAGTGCTAAAAGTCAAATAACTGTTCATTCATTATTGGTCAAATTGTCGGCTGATGAACTTTTTCGAAGATTTTCTCAAATCAATGAATGCAATTTTTACTGGTCTCCACCTCATTACTTTGATCTGTTGAAAGTGGACCTATTGTGCCCTACGAGGGTTATAATGTAAGCGATAAAGCACTCATTACTTGTTTCAAGCAGATATTCGTGAGCAACAATAATAAGATGACACCTTTTCTCAAACAAACAGCTTTACATGCATTTTTATTGCTTCTTGTTCGATAGAAAATTCAAAATACAAAATCAAACGATTGCTTTCCTTGACAAATGTCGCTTAAATCATTATAAGTCCCAATTCATACTCAGAAAGGATTTTTGAAGAAACCAATTCTCATCAAACGTGAGATGGAGTCCCTCAGCTCAACTTCCACTAAAATCTTGAAATTTACTTAGAAAAAATAAGTAGGAAGGAAATTCACCTCTCGGTTGGCGTACAAAAGGGTCTCTCTTAGGTGGAACAACCTGATAGCGTAGAGCATAACTTTGCTCTTCCAAATAATCTGCAAAACGTTCTGGATCTCAAATCGAATGTACTGTACGAGTAAGGAAACACGTCAGTACAAATCCCCAACTACCATCACTCTCCTTATATGAGAATTACATAAAAAATCATACCTTGAAGAACGAATTGAGTACATAAATACGACAGAACTCAACCAAACAGAATTTAAATTCATACTAACAGAAACCCGCCACCCTGCACAATTTCTAGTTAAAGTAAAGTTCCTAACTTTTCTGAACATTAATATAAACGGTGCCCCAATAATCCCACAAAACACAAGAAACTAGGTTAACTATTAAGCTAGAAAATTCCGTAGGTATAACCACAACGATGGTGAGAGTCAGCGTTGGGGATCGAACTCGCTATTACCCCTTGCGGGGATAACGCATTCATCACCACACCACGCGGGCCCTTCGTTTCGCCTTTCTAACAGCCATGTTTTTAACTCATAGGTGCCATCAGCAATCACCTGTGAACGGGATTTCACATTGTCATACTCTGCAATGATTAGGCAGCAAAATAGAAATGATTATGTTATGATTTCTACTACAGCTTCAGCTTATACTTACTTGAATACTTGGATGGCCCGTCCTCACTGTTTTTGCTGGTTAAACCATTATTTTTCCCTGGAGTCCCGAGGACAGCCTGGCCAAAGTCTGCCTCAGGCCTTCACCACCTCGGGCGGTTCCAACCTTTTGTGAGTCAGAGGGAGATTTGCCACCATGCGACTTCGATACCAGGACGGTGGTGGACACTGCTATTGGCTTACTCTTAGTTAGGCTTCCTGATGGAAACGCCAACTTCAGTTTAACTAGGTACAAAGCCGATTTGTGCTTCACAGACTAATCCCGTTGGCGGGTGATTGCTGATAGCACTTATAGATTAAAACACGGCTGAGAGACAATGGAAACGAAGGACCCGCATGGTCTGGTGATGAACACGTTAGCAACTGCAAAGTGTAATAACCATTTCGATCTCTACCACGGACACCTGCGGTCCGGAGTTTTGCAAAAATCTCTGCATGATTGTGGTTATAATCCACATCAGACCCTTCCATGGAACAGCATCGACACCCGGGAATACCTCCTAGCCATGACGAGGCGACTACTATGGACATGGTTTGACCGTTGGGCACATGCACGACGAGAGCTTTATCATTTTTTTATGATTTGATTGTTACCATTAAAGCAATAAATTCTCATCAAGATTCATAAAAGAGTTAGTTATAGGCATACCCGATGCGCCAAGATTAGCTTCAGCTCTTTCGTCACGCGGAACATCTTCCCAAGTGCTGCAAATCCATTCCGTTTATTCAAAAACAGGCGATTTTTATTGCAATTCACATAGAATCTTTGAACGAACTTAGATATAGTGTAGCCAGTTTGAAAGCTGGGGGAATCAACAGAAATATTGCTCATCGAATGTTTCTCGGGATCGCAAAAATCGCGAAAATTAAGCAAATTACCAGAAAAACACAGTCTGTAAACCACGCCACTGAAATCAGTAATTTATCAATGCTGACTAATCCATAAAAAGACCAAAGAACTACTGAAAAGATAGAGTTAAATTAAACAAACAGCTGCGAAGTACAGGTCACCTTTTGTGAACGCTCTACGGCCAAACACAACGAAAACATGGTGCTGCTAAAACTAATTCGCCATGACGAAACTTTCAAAGCCAACATTGCATTATGTCTTCGCGAAAATTTCGTCTCCACTATACAGCATTAACACTTTGAGATTCCTGCGCTTCATATGACCAGAACAACTAACATTAGAACAGCAGTCCTTGCCACAGTGCAATGCTGTCGTGATTCATGATTTGGGGGTTTGCTATCATGATAATCGCAGCATTTTAAACACTCCAAAACACTCTGAAAACAAAATGGTCACGATTTCGAAGAAGGATGTTGCATTTTATTAGATCCTTGAAATTCTCACTTACCATCGCAACCCCTATTATCCATTCAGTCTATAGTTTTTTTAAACAAATCTTTTTAGTGCTCGGTTCAGATCCGATGACAGTTTGGCTAGTTGATCTATTACAAGGAATTCAAAAAAGTTGAGAAAGCCTTATCAAAACGGAATCCTCGGCGCTATTTCTTTTCCAAAGTGTGCCACTTACGAAGAACACAATACTCTTTAAAGTGTAATACCAAGGGAAACGATGTTTTACGTAACATATTGGTGAAAAACCGCTTTAGCAAACATTATGCCAACTACGCTGCAACAATGTGTGGAGCCGAAAATGCTGGAAAAATATCACGTAACACAGAAACTGTCCTTCTGTGGGTGCAAAATGAGCTTTGTGTTTGTTATAGCCACTTTCAGCAGTTTCTAAACGAAATCTTGATGAAACCTAAACTACATAACAATCCGGATTCAGTAAACTACTATGCTACAGATCTAATACTGGTATTGGCTGCAGTGGCGTTCAAACGGGCTGCATTCCATCAACGTTCATCAATAGGAACCTAGATTAAATCAGAAAAAGGGAGTTATTTTATCGCCGTTACATCACACTTACAAACATATTCCCCTCAAAAATAATACAGTGAGAGTATGGTTCAAAGATACCTGGTCTGAAAAACAATGAGAAATGAAACGGTCGGTCGAAAAAAAAATCTTGAGTGAGACCCAGAAACCAACGAAAACGATCTTAATGAAGGTCGCTTCAATCACGTAAGCATTTTGAAGTCACAACTGATGTTCATCCTAGAAATCCCTTAACTTTGCTCTAAATTACATACACCGCTTATCATTTCAAGCGCAAACAAAGAACAGCTGGTGTGTGCTGGATTGAAGAAGCGCACCGAGAAGTGCTGGACTGAGCGTTCATAGCGATATCTCGTTTACCTGTTTTGCATTAGTAAACTGTCGATCGATACTCTCATCCGTGAGATAGCGAGGTAGACGCTTTTCTATTACATCATAGTACACACAGCCAAGAGCAGATATAAAGTCTTGTATTGTGATCATTTTATCCATAATTTCTGGAAAAAAGAAAAAATATAGTACGGCAGTCCTGAATTTTTTCAAAACGGTTTACCGGCGTGTATTTGAAGCTGGTGTGGCCCAACTGTGCTAGCCAGGAAATAAAGTGCACCGTCCTGTACAGTAAAACAAAGGAGTGTAATTAGAAACCACCGGCAAACAAAAACAGCCACAAAAAATGAACAATGCAGCCATATATCAATCTGAGAGCAACTTTTATCCTTCACAGTGACTCTTTCTATTCGCACAGTAATCCCGTACTTTAAGTTTTCAGCACCTAATATTTCACAGAGCACATTAAGGAACGACAAAATATGACTCACCAGAATCTCCATTTGATCAGCATCGCAAACAACTGTTCCATGATTATGGCATTTTGTCACGAACGTTCTCCACACCTCACAAGGATATCTTCCTTGAGCGCTCTTTACAGGGACGCCGAGGAACATGGCTAAACAGAAGCAGATGAATTTTATAAGTCAGAACATACAAGGCAACATATAAAACAGAAAATATTCAGTTTTTATCCTTAATATTTCAGCTAAGCAATACATCTACTCTGTCAATTCACTGTTGCCTAAAAACACTAGCGTAATTTCCAATTGTTTTGCATTTTCAAATCTTTTTATACTCCCGAATAAAGGAATAGTGTAGTATAAACATTTTGAATTCCTGCCATGTTAACGCTTGGGTGAATCCACGCCAGAAGTAAACGACCGCATTTGAAAAACGCAACGCTTCTTGTAACCTTCGACCCCGCGATGCGTACTGACCAGCTCTGTTGGGCGAGAAGCACGAACACCACCTTTACCACTGTCCTCATGACTGACTTAATTACAAGCATGATAACAGAAAGGATATGAACAATAAAAAAGAAACAGTACCGTTCTCCTCAACAGTACTTTGATGAAAACGATGACGAGTAGCGTCAAGAATGTTAGGATCAAAATTGATTAGTGATGACCAGCAGGAAATCGTACCTAAATAACCATGTCTAAAGTGAAAAGTACTGAGATATGCAATGAGAAAAATAAAGAGCAGGAAACAAAGATCGAACGGAAGAACTAGTCCCCATATCTCTCTGTGCCACAATGATATTAAAAACGCCACCACTGTTGGTCGATGAAGGTCTCTCCCCTGAACCTATTGTAATCGAAATTCACAACGCGTATTAATACAGATTGATCATTTTAATTTCTGATATTCATCAAATTAACAAAGCATCTGGTCTGTCGAACTTCATTACGAAATGAAGGAAAAAACAGAGAGTTTGATGGTCTTTCGTTCGATTTATTTCCATATTTCACCACATCTGCCATTTTTTATAAAAGATAATTCAGTAAACATTCTTACTTACTTGGATACTTTGACAGTCTGACCCCACTGATTGTGTGGGCTGCAGCATAATCTCCATTTTTCGGAGTTTTGCTGGTTTAGCCATTGTGTTTCTTTGGAGTCTTGAGCCTAGCCAAAGTCTTCACTAGATCATCAACACCACAACCAGTCCCCGCCCTTGTGGATCAACGGAGGATTTGCAAGCATGCAAACAGTTTTATATCAGGACGGTAGAGGAACCTGGTATATCTTAGCTAGGCTTCCTCATGGCAACGCCGGACTCCTCAGCTTGGGAGACCTTGCGGGGGGAGGAAGGTGATGAACCCCTCCGCTGTACATCGCAGCCGGACAGCCAGGAACGCTTCCCAGCCACGATGACGCGGTAAACTGTTGAGAGACTATAAACATTCACCACTGGAAAATTAACTTGCCACACATAATTTCAGCTCTGAAAATGCACATGAGAAATACAGGAAAGTACTGCTTACCTCTTTCAAAAGTGAAATGTGTGATTGAGATTTCTGCTGGATAAACCAGAATCCCGTCCTTCACTGATGGTGCAACAATGAACGGGTTTATTAGCACGAACTGCAATTCGAAACAAGGAAAATGACCTGAAATATATCACTAAAGATAAGTCCAACATGGTTTACGACCTCTCTGTAGAAACGAGGAACTACCTAGATATATTGGTCTGGTAACTTGATATTTCTGCGATGCTGTAGATAATATTAGTCCTAGAAGAGCTTTCTGGAATTTTAGAAGAAAAGCGCAAAAATAATAGCGTAAATGTAGATTACGCCGAATAACGCACGATGTGTGAAGATCTGACAATGAACTATTCAATCAAGTATTCAGTTCACAATAATACGCGAATATGATTTCTTTTGTCATACTACTTTTAAGTGAGTAACGGAAAGAACAAAGCGCGTGTAGCGCAATGGTCCGAGGCGTCCTGCAATACACATGAGACTGATCCAGGCACGCCAGGCTAACTTAGCCTTCCAACTCTCCCGGATCGGCAAATTGGTAGTAGGCGTGTCTGGAAGGATAGTAGCACTGGCTCGATACATCGGCAGACTAGTGCGAGTCATTGTGAAAGCCAGATATGCATTCAATCACCTAGAACGATGCATAATGAAATCGAATGCATGGTGCATCCATCCAGAATTGATCAACGTCGAGAGCTTCATCCTTGATCCTTTATTAGCGGAAACAAGTAAGTGGGACATATCAAAACGTAATTCTCCTACAGTCAGTTTCACAAAGGTTGGTCAAAAATGTCACAAAGAAAAAAACCTGCACGGAAGACTTCTCAAAGCCACTTTTAATCTAAACATGCTGATAAGATGTGCTTAAATGCCATAATGTGGGGTCTGCTCTATCGTTAACCTAATGAAGTCCCCTTTTTTTTTACCAATAGGAAACATAACGTGAAGAACATTTACAAAATAGCCATTATATTTGCGACAAAACGTATGTTTAACGCAGCTGTTCAACTATTTAAAAGCAGAATTTACCAGAGACAAACAAGAAAAGAAAGACTAATGTGAATATTGCTTAATGGTTTCCACACGGATTCCCATCAAGCAATTTCTCATAAACAGGATCCGGAAGTAAAGTATCATCAAGAAATTGATATGCTACACAGTATTTAGCATGAGTGCCCGAGTGAAGAGCGAGTGTTTCAGCAAGGAAAATATCGATATCTCACCCTATAGCTCGACTTGATTATAAAACTACTTCGTCTTACAGATTTGCTTAAACTATTTCTCCAGAAATTTTCTCTGCTCAAAATATCGTCCCTCTCGACATTCTTGATTGGAACAGCAAAAACTAACCAAATCTGATTTGGTCACGTTGATCACCAAGTAAAAATGTAGGACTAGTAATAACTTGATTGCTACTGACTAAACTTGTTGTAAACATTACTATTAAGCAATACAATATGAGGTATTATGCGAACAAGAAGAAAGCTTGTATTCCTACATATTTCAAGGATGTATTGTGGAGAAACAGAATAATCGCACAGGCACTAAACATTGGAACTAACCTAATGTAAAGTAGCGATACCTTAGTTTGGCCGAAAAATCTCGCTTTGAAAACATCCTTTTCGCAAACGCACTGCGTTGTTGCTGAAACGCGGAAATAGACGAAAAACAACAAAAAAATAGGAAGATATCGGCATTTTCAATAACCAGATTACACGTCGTATAGGGTTGCGAAGAAGAAGGTAGACTGGTTGATGCAGCTTCTATGGCCCTTCTTTGCGGTTCCAGCCATTTAGACTTGATGTCCTGATAAAATACTTCAACGATAACATTAAATTTTTAGTCATAAAAAAGCACAGTAACTGAAGAAAACAGTAAAAATGACAAAGTCAGATGCGCTGGAACACATTGTGAAGAGAAGTCACGATAAGTTTCCAATCCATAAATTTATTTGGGGCAGTACATGTTGATTTAAGTGCTACGGCGAGTAGCACGAATAATAAAATGGATAAACATTTCATTTTACGACAAACCTACCATCTTTCTTAACGATTGCTAAGACCAAACCTCAACGGTTTACAGCTGCATCGTGGTTGAGAGGGGTTCCTGGGGTGTCGGGTTATGACGTACAGCGGAACGATTCATCCAAAGGCAGCGTCTACCAAGCGGACTAGGAGTTCGCTGTTTCTATCAGAAAACCCAGGTAAGAGCAAACCAAAACCAGAAACTACCATCGTCCTGGTGTCGAACTAATCGCATAGTGGAAAATTTCCCCCTGATCGACAAGACTGCGACTGCCTGTGGTGGTGATATAAGGCAGACTTTGGCCAGCCTATCTTCCTCGGGACTCCTGGGAACCATAATGGCTAAACGAGCAAATCTCCGGAGAATGGAAATTATGCTGGAGTCCGCACAGTCCAGTGAACACGGACCATCCAAATATCCAAGTAAGTAGTAAGGCCAAATCAATAGATTAAACTGAGGAAAAAACTGGTCAGGAACCACCATACAATTCGAACACACTCGTTTTGAACACTATGAAAAAAAAAACCAGAAGAAGGAAAAATCTATCAACTCACTGGAAATTTTTGATCCGAACGACCTTTGTGGGAAGGAGCACTAGGTGTCCCATGTTGTTCCACCACAGACCACGACTCCTTATCAAGCTGGAATAAAGGAGAGAGTTTACAGTTTCGCAAGATTCGCCAACAGATTTACTCTCAAAAATAAATTTCCTAGGGCAATGCAGAACTGAAACAGAGGTTATTCAGCTGAAAGCCTCCTCACTTACATCCCAAAGTTCGGTAACTAATTTACGATCTTCCACACAATTTTCATCGTAGTCGTGTCCATGCATGTGACGAAATTTTTTGCAACCGATTTCCCGGAACCAACACCAATAGGAGGATATTCTTCGCGTTTGTTTCCTTACTCCCCTGAATACAAGCACTTTGGAATGAGGTTATGGTGTTCTACCCTTTGGTTGCTCGTCTTTTTCTTAGAATAGACTCACACAACACAGCACCGCACAGCAATCCCTGTCAATAGCACTGAAACCTTATATTGCTCCGGCTTCACAAACGATGTTTATGAAGGAGACGACTTTTAAAAAAGCGAAAAGGAAATCTCACGAGGTGTATGACCACAATCGGACAGAGCAACAGTCATTTTACGACAGGTTAACAAGTCCACTACACACTCACTCTTCAATAACATCCTCTTGCTGGCTCATTCGTTGCTCCTTCCTCTCCGGTGCACTCATGAATGCTCTTCACTTCGCTGAAACAGAAAGTCCACCGAACATGGAAATATTCCACAGAATCTCAATTGCAAACACCCAGAAAATTACGCAACGCATCGGCAGAATAAACACTACGTTATCCGGAAAATAACGTCAACATTTCCACATTAAACTTCAAAAATAGGATGGACCGATTAGTGTCTCTTAAAGGGTTTTCCGTAAGATAGTCCCAGTTTTCAGCTTGAAAGCAGGCAAAATGCCTAACCGCGTACAATTCTATCTGATGTGTTTCATGACTGGGACATGTTTTCTGCAAAGAATTATTGAAATAGAGCATGTTACCTTATAATGAAAGGGTCAAATTTATTCGATAAGCACGAGTTTATTTACTAGCGTAAAATACTAATTAAGAATGAACTCTGTTTTCAGCTGCCTCGGGCGTTTAGCTTGAGTATAGTCAAAAACCCAATACACTACAATCTGTTGTTTTCACAATTGTAAGGCTTATCGAATGCGGCTAACTTGTTATTTTATTGAGGGCAAACCACACGGTTAACCAGGATTTCCTTAGCGATTAGTCCCCGAGATGCTCAAGGAAGTCGAAAATCGTTAGTAACAGGTTTGATGATCGTGCTGAGTAATGGTGAAGACCGAACATGTGGGATGGATCAATTGGCGTTTCTTAAGTTTCGTATGTCAAAAATATACATAAACCTTAGCAAAATAATATGTTCCTCCACTTCTCTTCGAATTTATTGATTTCTCAAACATTGATAACCGTCAGCGAAGCGCGTAGCGTAGTGATCGGAGGAGCACTGCAATACATATAGAATCGATTCAAGCGCCCCAGGCTCACCAAGCCCTTCGTCCCTCTGGGGTCTGCAATTTGGTACTAGACTTGTCTGGAAAGATAGCAGCACCAACTCTATACATCAGTATGCCATTGCTCGTTAGTGTATAGGCTAGATATGCATTCATTCACCTTCAATGGTGCTTAATGAAGTCGAATGCATAGCTCATTCCTCAAGGCTTGATCAACGCAGAGAGGGTCTATCTATTTACCATAATCGCCAGGATGACTGTAGTTAAAGTATGAAGTGGGTAGAAATCAACATGATATACGACCGACTGCCAAGGAGTAACAGAACTGTGGTTAGGTGGTTGAAGAAGTTTCGTCATCAAATACAAAAGTTATAGTTCCCAGGATCGACTTTCTATTAGCCTCGGCATTGGAATATGAATGCGTCGCTTTCTTGTTCAGCAATCGCGAGGTTTTTAAACAGCACCCATTTACTTCCATAAAGAAACACAATACAATACAACAGTAGCTGACGTTTCGGTAGAATCGCCTTCTTCAAAGCGTGGAAGGGTATACTGATATACAATCTACTAGGCCAAACGCTTCAATGACACTTACAAAAAGACGAAAAACTCTGTGGTAATTATATGATCAACAGCTTCTCGAAAAACTCACAGCTTTTATGTGACTTCCAATGAGAAGGTTTAGAACAGCTGATTATAGTTGCATATGGTTGATGACTGCACCATCCCACATCAAAAATCGATGCGAACATACGGGATCAGGTCGCGTATGACCTCTGGGC